CACGTGTCCTTTGGAAATTGTTGAAAGAAACTCAAATCCTCAGCCTGCGAGAGCTCTCGTTGCTGTTTGAAGTAGTGAGAAGCAATTTTTTGTTGCTAATTATTATCTAACGTGCCAGCTTTGAACATCCAGCAGCCTTCCAGTACCTGAAGGGGCTACAAGGAAGCTGGGGGGACTTTTTACAAGGGTCTGTAGTGACAGGACAAGGGGGAACGGGTTTAAATTGAAAGTGGGGAGGTTTAGATTGGATATCAGGAAGAAGTTCTTCCTGGAGAGGGTGGTGAAGCACTGGGACAGGTTGTCCAGAGAAGCTGTGGATGCCCCATCCCTGGAAGTGTTCAAGGCCAGGCTGGATGAGGCTTGGAGCAACCTGGTCTAGTGGAAGGTGTCCCTGCCCATGGCAGGGGGGTTGGAACTGGATGGTCTTTAAGGTCCCTTCCAACCCAAACCATTCCGTGTTCCAGGTACACAGGGGATGATATTCCTCTTGTTCAGTCTCTTGACACTGATGCTGATGAAATTTTTAGGAAAGCAGATTACAGAAGAATCTGCTGCCTTCTCAGTGTGTCAGCTGGCAATGGATTTGTAATGTGCTGTTGTGATACTTGACTTGTTTCTTAATCTAAACTTGAAATTAAAAAGTTGCTACTTTTGTTGTTTTTAAAAAACAAACTCAAATCGTCCCTGCCTGTCATTCAGAACTTTTGGAAGGGATGCAGACATAAAGCAGCCTGGTTATTCTACAGTAAACATGTATGATAGCTCTCTGGTACTTTTTGGGAGGTTTCTTTCAGCAGCCCTCCAGGGACACACCTAGCTTGCCGACAGAAGCAGGAGACTGAGGCTAGCCTCATTTTCAGTAGCAATGGGGTATGACGACATTCTGGCCCCTCTTGCACTCCGAGGCTTGTTGCTGAGTATAAAATATCATTGCATGCTGGGACCTGTAGTCCTCCTTGGCTGCAATTCCATTTTAAGATGAGGCCAGCTCTGTGAAAAATACCAGTTGCCTGCTGGCTCCTGCTGTGTTATCCCCGTGGGTGTGCCCTGAGCGCTGCCTGAACGGAGGAGAGTGCTGTGCCTGGGTGACAGTCGGGTCTCACCAGCATGCAGGCTGCCAGGGTAGCACAGCACACAGGTCTAATTAGCCGGGGTTTGAATAGTGGTTACAGCTGAGTAGCAGCAGCAAGTATAGAACAAGTGGCCCATGCACCAAAGAGTGTCATTCCCTGTGCTTTTGGCCTGTAGGTACCACTAGTGTTCCATGCTTCGTTTTGGGAAGCAAAATGTGCTGCTGCTTGGCACAGAGACTGGGAAGATTACTTGTATGGCTTTACTTTGGTAGATCTCTGCTTACACTGTCCTGTCTCAGCTGCCAGAAGAATTCAGACAAACTGTTGTATGGGGAAGCAGGAAGAAGTTTTTTCTGGTAGCTGAATAAATATGCATTTGGTGACCACCGAATTACCATGTTTTACAAGCGAGAACAGGGTAGAAGAAGTACAGGAAGGCAGAGGAACCGGGTGGGTAGGAGTTTGTAAAAGAGGATGATGAAGCAGTGCAGCACTCTTTTCTAACTTAAGTGGCTTGAAAGAGAAGGGGGAGAAAACAGACGGAGAGAGAAGGAACATACGTAGGAAGGAGGAAAAAAAAAGAGAAGGAAAAATAGCATTGAAACTTAATATAAGGTCACATTTGCCCTTAAGCTCCTGCTATTTTAGCTGTACCAGGAGGATATTGCATAGCTGCACCAGAGAGGAAAAGAATTCCACAGTAGCAGAACTAATGAAACCTGGTGTCCTCTCTGCCCTGTTTTTTTTTGGTTTTGTTTTTTTAACCTTCCTTCAGCCTCCCCCATGTGTCTGTGACCCTGTCAGCTGGGCAGCAAGGGAGCATACTGCTGCTGGTTGGGGTGTTTGCAGGAGGGGTGCTGGCTTGGCTCTGTTGTAGTGGCTTCGTTTTCTCCTCTGGGGGGACCCTAATCTGCTCTGCTGTCTCCAGTTGGTGATACTCTCAGAAAGCTTTCTACACACTGCTGTTTTCAGTATTTCTACTCATCTCACAAATTTGATGGAGGTGTCTAATAAATTAAAAGTCATTTGCTGGAGGTAGGATGACAACAGAGCAGTCGTGTGGATTTTTTCATTGGAAAGCCAAAGTTAAATAGTGGACCTCATTCAGGTTTGGTTAGTGAGGAAAGACGCAATAAGAAGCAGGCTATGTCAGTGTAATTACAGCTGCTTTAGGGTATTTTTGCTGACATTACTATATTAGTAGGGAGTGTTTTAACTAGGACAGTGATGCCAACGAAGCTTTTGACTAGCTCATGTGGGTGTTGGGATTGTTCTTTTCCAGGTACGCTGAAGCTGGGGGGTTTTTACTTGCAGTGAGGTTACAGTATAGATGCTGCAATACCAGACTAACAACTCAACCTATGTATCTTTGTTTTTTAAAAGCTGATTGTGAATGTGAGGCTGTGGGGGTTGTGAAACGTTAGTCATGATTTGTCTCTCTCGGAAGAATCCGTGACAGAAGGAAGCCATAGCGGTGTTGGCAGTCACAGCTGGATTTGTGAATATAAATTCCAGTTCATCATATGGAATATGAAGGGGTTGAGGCTCTCTGTTCTTAGTTTGGAGTTTTGTCAGATGTAACCTGAGTGCATCTCTCTATCAGGAGTGGTGGTTGTGGATGAGTTGCACATGCTGGGGGACTCTCGTCGAGGATATCTGCTGGAACTCCTTCTGACCAAAGTCAGATATGTTACAGAGAAGGTTGCAAAAAGGTGGGTAGACCACGACGTTTGTCTTTTAATGCTAAATTATGGATGGCTCTACGTATTTTGTTCTTTGGATAATTGGCAAGTTGGGTTAGCTCCAGGGTTTTTATGAGTGTGATGACCTAGACTATTTTAGTTATTAAAGGCTCATCATACCACCTCTCAGGGGACTGCCATTGTAGTCAAAACCTCTTTTCCTCATGGTTTTCACTTTGTGTGCTATCGTGGGATTGGCTCTCCTAGGAAAAGAAATAAGGCTAGAACTTTCATTTACTTTTTTAGCCTATTTCATTTTTATAAAAAACCTTTGGATTTCTTTTAACATTTTTGCTAGCGAACTTGCCCTGCGTCATTTTGCAGCGTTGCATGGAATGGGGTGTTTGTCCTCCTGAAACGTTCAGGTGTTGTGGAAGTGTGGGCATGCTGTGAACTGCCTCTGCTTGGTTAGCACTGCTCAGGGTGATCTGTGGGCTTGCGTCTGACATGCCATAGCCCAATGCTTGCATGGTTTCGTGCCTTTAGCATGACTGATTGGACACTGGTGAGTGGATTAAGTGTTTCGGAAGAACTTCAGAGGCTGTTAAGAATTCAGTATCTAGATTCCCAGCACCAAACTGTCCAGCTGCTCCATAGCGCCCAAACACAGGCAAAGGCAAATGGAGGACATGGTGTATCAGTCTTCTTACTTTTCACTAGTGGTGCTGAGAGAAGAGTCAAAATCAACTGTTCCCTTAGCACCAAAAGCCAGATTTTGCCAGTTTTCTCTGCTGCTTCCCATCTTCTGAGGTGTTCCAGTGCTGGGCTGAATGGTTAGCCGTGGGGGAATTGCCATTTCTCCATTGGCTCTCCACCAGACAGTTTTCCCATCCTTATTTCCAGGATCCAGCAGTGTTCTGGGTCTAATCACCTCTGCCTTTTTCTCAGATTCTCCCTGTAAGTCCTGGAAGGAAGCCAGCACACTTCAGAGCAGCACGAGCAGCTTTGCCATGTGGCTTGTCGTGTGGCTGCGGCATGGATGCAGGACCACTGGCTTTCCTCCTTTGCACTAAAGAAGCAGGAAGGAGAAAACATCTGTCAGGGAAAAAGGGACAGATGCATCAAGGAATGTTGCTGGGTAGACACAATACTTTAGCATTCACCACAGAGGGCCCAGATCGTTCATCTCTCTGTGATGGTCAAGTTGATGATGGTTCCCCATACTGACGTGAAGGGGGTGGCCATTATTTATGTTTTGGAATCCACTTGAGATTCCTGGAGTTGAAGACCGCTTTTTCTCTCAGACATCCTCCCAAGTCTGTGGTACCTTTTTTAAAATCTGTTTGTTTATTTAATGGGAGCCATGTAAGCCGAATTCTATACTATCCGGCCTGACCTGTTACCCGAATAAGCAGTGCTTTTAAGAGCTTTTCACGTGGTTAGGGGGATGTCCCACTGAAGGGTAGGGGCGTGTCTTTGCACCAAGAGGTGGCTGTTGCCAGTGGGGGTGCCCTTGCTTCTCCCTGAGGCTTGTGCAGTCTCAGCCAAAATTCCACAGCAGATTTTTCTCCTCCCCAGTCAAAGTGTGTTGCAGAATTGTAGGTTTTTTTAATCCATGAAGGTCAAAGGTTTTTTCAGGGGGAGAAATCTGCAACGTAGGCGGGGGAGCTGTACTACCAAATGCTTGAAGAGCTTGGATAAGAAAGTCTGCTTCTCTGCATCTTCCTTATTTCTGTCTTGTCAGAGACTGCCCTTTTTTGTCCAGCTTCTGGGTAGTCTTGTTTGCCCTGTGTTGTCCTTGCCAGGATTAACAGGATCTTCCAAGAAGGTTCATGCTGTTTCTGAGCTCACATTGATGTGTCAGACCTTCTTCTTTTGTGAAGTCTCAGTTTATGGCTCAGTGCAATGCAAATTAGTAGTTTTTCAGTGTAGGCTTAGGAGCATAAGAGATACCCCTACGTAAAAGCCTGAATTAAAACATACGTTTGGGTGTCTAAATGAATGGTTTGTGTTTTCAGCTCTGTTAAGGGTCCATTACTTCTCAATGATTTTAGTGGAAGCTGCTGTTCAGCACTTTGAGAACTCCAGCTGCTTTCCTCTTTGCTGAACTAAGGGCTTTGGTTTCCAGCTCTAGGAAGACCTTAGTCCGGTATTATTTGTCCTGAAATTAAAACAAATGGAAGTGCTTTAATTAAGGCATTTAAGCTTAAAAAGACTGCAATGGAGACCGAACCTTTCCTTTATTTCCATGTTTTTGTTAATGGGAAGGAAATAGTTGATTTATTTGTTTTCAGTTTCTCCAAATATGCAGTCAGTTTATGGCCGTTGTTGCCTAAAGGAGCTTAAAGTCTAGGTTCAAAATGTTAAAAAGTTGAATTATCTTGTTAGCAGTGCATAACTTGACCTTGTGTTTGCTAAGAGTAGAGTATGGCTTGTTTCTTTTTCAAGAAGTGGAAAAAAAGAGCTTTACACTTTAGATTCCGGGAGCCGATTGGGTTAGTTTTTCTGAATGCTGTTTTCCAGAACAGTAGCCTGTGCTGTTACTAACTTCCGTTTTCTTTTAACCACTTCCAGACAGGGGAAGATGACCAGTCCTGGTTTTGGTGGGATACAGATAGTAGGCATGAGTGCTACCCTCCCTAACCTGGGGCTCCTAGCCTCCTGGTTAGATGCAGAGTTATACTGTACGGATTTTCGCCCCGTGCCCCTCAAGGAGCAGGTGAAAATTGGCAGCAACATTTATGACTCCTCCATGAATTTACTGCGAGAATTCCGGCCCAAGCTTCAACCGAAGGTAACAGAACTCTGAGCAGTTGCTTTGGGTTAACACCTTTTGTGCAGCTAAACTTAAAAAGACAGCGACTGGTATGGTTTTATTTTTTTAATAGACGACACGCCTGACTTCATTGTTTACTTCATAGATTGTATACTTACACTAAGGACAATTTATTTTTTCTCTTCTACTGATCTAAAAACAAAACAAAACATGCACTCATGAAGATCTTGAAGTTTCTTGAATCTGGCTTGAAGACAAAGTTGACTTTGTAGCTCTCTTGTTTCTGAGCACTTGACAGGTATAGAGAGTTTGAATCTCCCCTTACCCTCCACCCTGCCTTGTGTCCTGAAATCTACTTTGCTGTCATAAATGAAGGTTAGTATTTCCTGGTTAGGTCAAGGAACTTGCATTAGTCACTGGGAGAATATATTTGCATTAAAATCTGGCATTGAACCTGCTTATGGCAAACTGCTTAATGATCCAGTTCTGTCAGTGATTATAAGGCAGATGTTCATCCTGATTCTTCTGAATCTGTTTTCAGTATTTAGTCCTCTTGCATGCTTGAAAAGGATATGAAAAGTTAAGGGTAAGGTACTGTAATGATCTCGAAGAACCAAATGGGGTAGAAATGGGAAATTTGCGCTTCCTACTTGCAGGTTTCTTTTCTGTGAAGCCTTTGAAGGGTGAATTCTCTCCCTTGTCCTTTCAACTGCCCTGTGTAATACTGGTGGTGTAGTCAGACGGCGCGGGCTGAGCGCCAGCAGGATTTTGGAATGTTTTACACCCAGTTCTCGTTGTGTGCAAACATTCGCTTGTCTGTAGCCTGGTGGCACAGCAAAGAAAAAGGATCCTAGAAACAAAAGGCAATGTTTGTGACAAGAATATCTAGAAGCTTGCTTTTATGTGGCCTTATTGAGAAGGTGATGTTGCATCTCCTTTTCTGGGTGTTTTCTGAAGTAGCTGCTTTGGATAGGTTCTAATTTAAGTGAAAGAAAGAACTAAACTAGGCTTATGATTCAACAGTTTAAGGAACTTGGCTAATTTTATAAGACCAGGTGATCCTCTTGGGCTTGAAATTTGTCACTGGACTTTCAGACTTCTGTTATGTACCTCAGACTGGACCAGGAAAGGGAACTTGACTTCACTGCTTCTGCTGAACTTGGCTGAATTCTTACTGAGCTTTTGACCTGGGTATGCAGTTCCTGCCATTGCTCCCCCGGCTTTCCCTTGCATTTCAGTGCTTTTTATTTCTTACCTTACGCCAATTTTCTCTTCCTCCTTTGGCCTGCTTGCTGGAAGAGAATCTGCCTTAGCCAAGCAAAGCAGATCAGTTGCAGGAACTCTCTTAGGATCTTAAAATCAGAAAGGCAAGCTGTACGCAGTCAGGTTCTGCATGCACATCTATGTGAGTATAAAGGCTTACTGTGCCCTGAACACTTGCAGTCTTTGGTCAGCAGTGCTCGCTGGGTGCATCTTACTGGGGATGCTCAGAAGACTACCTCTCATGCTCTTAGTTCAGACATTCTAGTTGATAAGTCTTCCTTTGTTACTGTAGAGGGATGTTTCCTTTGTTACTGTAGAGGGATGTTTTCCCTCGGGGCTCTTCCTTGTTCTTCCCCGCTGCTGTTAGCCATGACGTGGAGGTTGCAGTGAGGTTTGGTGCACTGTGAGGTCTTCATTTAGAAACAGAGTTACGACAGCAGGATGTGAAACCTTAGATCTATTCATGGGTAGGTCTAGGGCTGTCCCCAGCAATGGGGTCATACTAGTGCATAGGTTTCCTACAGCAAGATAGAAACTGAGGTGACAGTGCTACATCTTCTTTGTTTGCTCCTCTGTCTGACTTGAAGTAGAAGATTCCTACAGTGACACAGGAGAATGACAGCATTTGCAAACCCCGTTCGGTGTGCGAGTGCATTGAAAATATTTTGTCTTGATTCAGGGAGATGAAGACCACGTTGTGAGCCTATGTTATGAGACTGTTTGTGATGGCCATTCCGTCCTGCTTTTCTGTCCATCCAAGAACTGGTGTGAGAAGTTGGCAGACATCATTGCCAGGGAATTCTATGGTTTGCAGCAAGCTGAGAGTAAGAGAAAAGTAGTTAATAGAAGACTGTAGTATGCACAGTACCTTTAATGAAAATTAATTTTAGTAGAAACTATAAAAATATTTTCTCTCTCAAGGTTCTGCAAGAAACCCAGCCCTTGCCCCAGTTGGTGTGGACAGAGAAGGGATCGATGAGGTTCTGGATCAGCTGAAGCGTTCTATCTCCGGCCTGGACTCTGTGCTCCAACGTACTTTGCCATGGGGTGTGGCATTTCATCATGCAGGTATTCATGAATATCTTGAATTCTGTAATGGTCGAGTCGTACGGGTTCTTTTTGCTGTAGCTACCAGCAATTTACCAGTTGCTTTCTGGAGCCTTCTGTAGCTAATGACTGAATTAAAATGCTTCGAGAATCTCACAGTTAGAGGTAAACTTGAAATTCTTTTATTGTGGCCGAAGACTTTAATTCACTAATTGGTATGATAAACCTTCTCTCCGTTGTGTGGGATAACAGCAACCTTTTATATAAAGCTTAATATTTTTTTTGGTAGAAATGTCTGAAAAATTAGGTGGTTTGCAGCCGAAGCATTTTCAAGTTGTCCCTAAAGCTGCCAGAGTATTTTAGAGAAAATTTTCCTTAGCTTAATACTGAAGTAAGAGGAGTAAATAGAAGAAGTATAACAATGAAAGTAAAAATAAAAAGACCATGTGCCATGAATGCTTCTGGCTAGATCTTTTATTTCCTTCTTAAGTAGGTCACAGTGTATGTCACCTGTTGATCCATGGAGAGAAAGGACTGACTCTGGAAGAAAGGACAGGAGCTATGGCATTGAATATGCAGGGGGAATAATTCCAAATGCTTAGAGTGTGGGTTTCTTTCTCAAGAATAAAATTGGGCTGAAGCCCTCAAGGAAATGCAGAAAGAGATGTATTAGACCTGTGATCTAGAATGGAAATAATGAAGGATTCCAGGGTCAGGATGGCAGATGGCTAAATCCTAGTTCCCTACTGTGCTTGTTACATCCAGTTTTCTCTCCTCTCTCCCTCTCCCTCTCCCTCTCCCTCTCCCTCCCCTCCTTGTAGATATGCAGTAAATAGTTGCTCACCTTGCTGCAATGCGTAGAAGCACCTTAAGAAAGCTAGTTGTAACTATCACTGTCAATTGAATAATGAAAACCTAAAGGTTAAATTCTGCTTCACTTACAGTTGGAAGGAAGTTAACTCCGGCAGTATTGGGAGTCTAGTTCTTAACACGGAATGGTGCATGTCCGTTTGTTTGTTTGTTTGTTTTTCCCATTCCTTGGCAGGAATATTATTAGCTCTAGTCTCACCATGACTGGGTTCACTAAAGTCATCTCTCCTCAGGTCTTACTTTTGATGAACGGGACATCATTGAAGGAGCCTTTCGCCAGGGCTTGATTAGGGTCCTAGCAGCAACCTCCACGCTCTCATCTGGAGTGAATTTGCCGGCACGCCGAGTAATTATTCGAACTCCCGTGTTTGGTGGCAAACTGCTGGACATTCTCACTTACAAGCAGATGGCTGGAAGGGCTGGCAGGAAAGGAGTAGACACAGAGGGTAAGCAGAGGCTTTATTAACATTCTCTAAGAACGGTGTTAACCTGATTAAATCCAGGGCAGTGCTTCGCAATTAGTGACTAATCATGATGAATTCCTTTGGTATTCAGTATGATTAAGTTAATCAAGATGAATTTGTTTGGTATTAATGGAGTAGAAATTGTAATTCCTAGGGGATTCTGCTGCATGAGACTGACTTTGGTGTTTACATGTCAGTTACTTCAGGAATGGGCTATTTTTGCCTTTGAATTCTTGTTACCTTCTAAGGCTGTGTTCATTTACCTTAATTCTATGATCCGTGGTCAGTTTACTAAAGTGTTTGCAGCTTCAGGAAGAAAATTTACAGTAAACTCTCACTGGACAGACCTAAAATGTAAGAAATGCATTTAAAGTCTGCAACCATAATCTGACAAACTTCTTTTGTTGTCCGAAGTTCTGATTTGGATCTGTTAAAACTCCTCTGAACTTACCCATAACTTCTGTGGATCTTGAAAGCAGTAATGCGACAGAGAGAGGGAAGTATGAACAGCAGTTCACGGATAACACGCTGTCTCCACGCACGCGCAGTGCTAGTTGATGTTCAGCAAAATAATCCTGCCGGTTATTTTAATTTGCAGTGCAAATTTATTTTCATGGATGGCATTTGGAAAAATTCTATTGTTTTCTACTGTGTTTATCGTTGTTTAAGGAGTTCGGCAGAAGTGGGAAGTGGGATTTGCCTTAGTGGTGGTTTGATTGGTGCTTGCTGGAACCCTATGTAAACAGACTGTTCTTGCATTTAACTTTCTATTTTTGCCAGGGTAGCGTAGCAACAGAGCATTTTGCGACCTGTATCTCTGTGAGCTATCCCTGTGTGTTAAAGCAAAGGGAAGCTGCATGCTGTATTTTGAAATTTTGCAGAATTTGTCATTTGTGTGTAGCTGGCAGGTGTAAAATTACACCTTGAAGTTTCTCTTTTTCAAGTTACAATAATTAGTACCCTTTTTTCACAGTTCTGATGTGACTGTGTTTTGCGCAGTAAGCAGTTGATTTTATGCTGATGAGCTTCATGAATGTCCATTTTTTTTTTCCAGTCCACGGAGTCTTTTGGATGAGAACATAAAGCTACATTACCAGCTGCTACTCTTTCACAGAGTAGGGAGACTGGAGGACAGCAACGTCAGCTGGCAAAAACGCCTTATGTGGATATGAAATTCAGCTGACAGGCAGAAGATAAACGCTCTGTTGGGTTCATTTTCTCCCCTCCCAACATTGTAGTGTTGGCTTGTCTCAGGTTTTGGTTTTGATTCTCCCCCCCCTCCCCGATTTGCTGAAAACTAAAAACATCGTTTTAGAAAACGAAATTCCATTATTTTTGCATTCATCAAAACTGTCATGTGCCCAAGGTGGAACAGGTAAAGCTGTTCAACATTGCTGAACAAAGCCTAGAAACATAATGGGGCCTCTTTTGCTTTTAATGGAGTTCTGTGCCTAGACAGCCAGGGTCTTCTGGTGTTTGTCTAGACTGATGCGTAGACTTCCTCTCTCATATGAAAGGTTCCACAAGGGATCTTAAAACACCTTAATTCTTTCTTGATGTTTTTATGCTTACTAGGTTGCAGTTGTTAGCTTTACATTCCCAGTGGGAAAGGGTTTCCCCCAGGCTTTGAATGATTGTCAGATAATGTAGAGCCAGGTGGATACCCATAGAATCACAGAATGGT